AGTGGGAAAGAGAAAAATTGCAGAATCCTGCAGAAAAAAATGGTTTTTTGCTGACTTTAGACTTGATTTGCTCCTCCTTCTGAGCATGAAATTTGCTCCTATTTATAGGGCTGGAAAGAGGGTAATCTCGTTTTCAACGGGGAAAAATTCTCAGCCCTTGATTCGACTCGAGGAATCCAGGCTGTTGGCTCAAAGTGTGCACCTCAAACTGTCAAATTTGGCAAATCCAAGGCTGCAGGATGCTCGAGGTGGCCACTTTGGGCTAATAAACAGAGCTGTTTCAAAGCTTTTTGATCCGACCAAACCATTCTCCAAGATAAAGGGGTTGCAGGTGGACATGTTGGTGCATGCGTTGTCAGATTTGATGGCCAAACGAGGAAGAAAATGCTCTTGGAAAGCAGCTACTCGGGTATCTTTTCGAGGACGAGGATGAACAGTAACCAGGTGACGCGCCACTTTTTTTTTTTTTTGAATCCCAAAACGACGCCGTTTTGGGTTAAAATTAGGGATTTGTTAATTTTTTTAATTTGATCCTCTAACTTTCAATTTCTTTCAATTAAATCCCTAATTGACCCTAAACTTCTGATTTAGTTCAATTTGGTCCCCTCTTAACTTCAACTTCAGCCCCAGATTTACGTGCCTTTTACAATATGATCCTTGGTCTTAGATTTTGTCAATTTAACCCCTAATTGGCTCCAAAACTCCAATTTTCTTTCAATTTGGCCCTTGATTTCCATCAATTAACTTGGTAAAAATTAGATTTGGTCTCTTAAAATTCCAATCTTCTCAATTAAGCTCAAATTAGACTTCCAAACTTAATTTTTTACCAATTAAGCCCCAAATAAAATTAATTTAACCCATTTAAAGTATAATTAAGTCCTTGCACTTAATTAAATCCTTCATTTGGACCCAAATTAATCCTTAAACATAATTAATTAACTGGGTAAAAATTAAATTTGGTCTTTTAAAATTCCAATCTTTTTAATTAAACTCAAATTAGGCTACCAAACTTAATGTTTTACCAATTAAACCCCAAATAAAATTAGTTTGACCCATGTAAAGTATAATTAAGTTCTTGCACTTAATTAAATCCTTCATTTGGTCCTAAATTAATTCTTAAACATAATTAAAAATTTAATTTGGGCCATGATTGAATCAAATTGGTCTATTAAAATTTAATTATGTTATGGGGCTTAATTTTTATGCAAATCTATCCCATAATCATTTAATTTGACCTCGAATTTGTATTTTTTCAATTTTTGGCAAAATAGGGCGCTAATAGGTTTTGAATCTCCTCAAAAAATCCCAGTTTGATTTTTGCATATTTTTGCGGTGTTTCTAGATCAACTTTCTCCATATTGCCAGTCTTTATTTTATTTTTTTATTTTTATTTTGAAAAAAAAATGAATTTTGGGGAATAACCCATAATTGGGTTATGATGCTAATAAACAATTCTGCCAACTTTGTATATCCATAAGTAATTTTAACTAGCAGAAAATGGGCTGATTTTGTCAACCTATCAACAATCACCCATATTGAATCATAACCCTCTTGACTCTTAGGCAATCCTGTCACAATGTCCATTGTGATCCTTTCCCATTTCCATTGTAGAATCAATAGTAGTTGTAACAATCCAAGAGGCTTCTATTGTGATCCTTTCCCACTTCCATTCTGGAATCAACAATGGTTGCAACAATCCAGGAGGCTTCTGGTGTTCACCCTTTACCCTCTGACAGGTCAAACACCTAGAAACAAAATCTGCTACATCAGCCTTCATCCTATTCCACCAATAACATACCTTAAGGTCTTTATACATTTTGGTGGAACCTGGATGCATTGTGTAAACTGTCTGATGTGCTTCTACCATCAATTCTCTCCTCAGATCATCTACATCAGGTACACAAAGTCTATCTCTATATCTCAGTACATCATCATCACCTATCACAAAACCTGCAGCCTTACCTTGCTCAACATCATTTCTGATCCTGAGTAGTGAATCATCCTTCTTCTGAGCAACCAAATGGGGACATCCGATAAAATTTGTGTTTTGGGTTAATTAATGAATTAAGTTGAATGTTATGGGTTGATTGTTGTGGGTAATGGATTGTTAAGTTGAATTTGAGATATTGTAGATAAAAATGATGATTTTGAGTTATGGGTTTGTT